ACTAGTTTTGCACTTTTACCATCCCACAAAGTGGTTTCGCTCGTTTGCCATTATGAGACTGGTGTAACCCGCTGAAATACATTTTGGGTAGTTTTAATTTGTGGAAAAAAAAAGACACATCCTTCTACCCCTGCCTGTTGTTTTCTCCATCAAAATGGATCGAACAACAAAATGGATCGGCCCTCTCTCCCATTACTCCCTCTCCTCCATCCCCGCTCCCCAGTGGCATCAACTGGCACAGGCCTGCCACCACGCTGCTCCCCTCCCGTGCCGACGCTGGCCTTCCCCCACGCTGCCCCCTCCCCTACCGGCATAGGCCTGCCCCCACGCCACTCCCTTCCTGTGCCAATGCTGGCCTTCCCCCACGCTGCCCCTCCCTTGCCGGCACAGGGCTGCCCCCATGCCTTCTCCTCCCCTGCTGGTGCAGGCTCGCCCCCATGCCTCCCCCTCCACTACAGGCGCCAGCTTAGGCCACAGGCTATAGCCCCTCCTAGCCAGCACCGCTCCACTTCGATGCCACCCAAATGGATGGGAGCAGTAGTTCGACGGGGGCCATCTAGAGGGCTGGGAGTAGAGTCCTTCTCGCTCTTGTCCACTACGACAAATGCAAATGCCGCATTGTCAAGGCATTGATGACAAAGACTGAGAAGAACTATGGGCGGATGTTCTACATCTGTCCAACTCGAACGGTTCTATGATTTGTTCCATTTTGTTTGTAATTCATGTGTTGTATTGTTCAGACAATTGAATTTTCTTTGCATTGGTGACAGATGGGTGGTGGTGGATGTGACTTTTGGAAGTGGTAGGAGGACTATGAGCAATGGCTGGTTGATAACAAGCATGTGTCACCCTCTTATCAGCCTGTTTTTTAGAGCACTAAGATGCCACAACCAGAAGAACAGTCCAAGGGAGATGGTGGACAGCCAGAGCAGTTCAAGGACCTGATAGAAATAGCTAGAGAGATTGTGTTCTTGCTGAAATGCTTGATATTAGTTTGTGCACTTCTACTAGTGACCAATTTGTATGAAATTGTTAAGAACGGATGATGAGTGTGCTTTCTATACTTGTAGCACTTGTGTGCTAAAATAAATGAATGGAAGTACTCATTAGTGACTTGTATCATACACTGTGTCATGTGTGATGTGTCTTTTGTGATCAATTTTCTATAGAATTTTGACATAATTTCGGACAGAATTTTGACATAATTTCAACACATTTCAACCCTTAAGGAGTCAACACATATGAGAATGACATACAAGAGATCTCCATACATGGTAGAAGTTCAAATATAAGGTCCATGACTGCTCAAATAACAGAAAGCATAAAAGTTCAAACACAAGGTTGACACATGAGTCACGCTGACATAACTAAAAATACACATGACTTCACACATTAGTCACAATTTTTAGGTGATCTTCTTTTTCCTTGGCATCAGCTTCTTTGCAATTGTCTTCTTCATTGTTTTTTCCTGGGTCTTGCTGGGAGTACTTGTGTCTTCTCCCATCAGACTGTGCATTGGCTGAGCACTTGTGCCTTCTCCCATCAGACTGTGCATTGGTTGAGCACTTGTTTCTTCCTCCATCAGAAGCGAAAGTTGTCTGACATTTGGAAAAAAAATGTAATTAATGAAACAGAATATTGGACATATGAATGAACAACAAAATATTGGACACTTGTACCTTCGTGTCAACCTATTAGGACTATCCTGCAACACGGTTTCCTTGTTCTGGTGGGACTTGTGACTGGTGGGACTTGGCCACATTCATTGTCAGGCTCCCCAGAAACATGCTTTTTTGCCCTCTTTGTATGGACCTTAGCATTTTGGCCATACTTAGTAGTATTCGGCCTAACCTTCCTTTTTGGTGGTTTCTTAGTCCCATTAAGTCTACACTTGTAACTAGTTTTTCCATGTCCCAATTCTCCACATCTCTTGTATTTCCTTTTCCCTCTAATCAGTTGCCTCTTACCTTTAGCAGCCTCAACGGTCTCCAATTCAGCATCTTTGTCAGCTTCATTTGTAGCCTCTTTAGCAACCTTCTTGGTTTTGCCACAACTGTCTCCTTCCAAACAACTTTTAATTCTCAGTTTCCTGTACCTTCCAACACCTTTTTTATCTAGTGGTGCCCCAACAGAAAAAGGAATATCAAGCTTTTGGCCACTGTGTCTTATTTGAAAATGGTTCTATCAGCCTCTTATATGTATTTTTGAACCTCTGCACAGAGTAATAGTCATGAACGAAGTCCTCCAACTTTACATCAGCACTTTGTTGGGCTGTTATCAGGACCAAAGCATGTCGACAAGGCTTTCTAGTGTGCTGCCATTCAAGACAGGTACATTCATGCAAGTATGACTTGACAACATGTCTATTATGTGTGCTGGTAGTGTCATGTACTTCTGCAGCAAAACAACCTGCCTTCACAACGGTCAAGTTTTCTAATTCCCTAGTCCTTGCTTTTAGTATAGTTAGGATAGCAGGTAGGATGTTATCCTCAAGTTTCTCTAAAATCAACCTTCTCTTGTTCTATAATACCATTATCATCTCTCTAATTTTGTTAGCAAGCTTAATTATAGGAAGATCCTTCCAATCTCTAATCCAGTTATTAAATGACTCTGTAAGATTGTTGGTAACATAGTCGCACTTAATTTCTTGATTGAAAGCACTTCTCATCCACAACAATTTGTGGTGGCTATGAAGCAATTCCAATACTTCAGGGCAAGCTGTCACAATTTCATGGAAGAAATATTGAAAAACTTCAGGCCTATATATCCTTGCTGCAGGATACATTTTTGAAAAAATATCTCCACCAAATCTTTTTTATGAAATTCTGCATTAGATGCCTAAAGCATTCTCTATGCTCAGCATTAGGGAAGACATCTTTAACAGCTTTCTCTAAACCTTTGCATGCATCAGTGCAAATAGCAAGTAGTGGTAGGTTTCCTATTGCTTTATGTAGCTGAGTCATGAACCATGTCCAGTTATCTATTGTTTCCCTATCTATGAAACCAAAAGCAAGAGGGTACATCCAATTATGACCATCTATTGCAACAGCTGCAGCCAAATGTCCATTTCACCTACCATTAAGTGCAGTTGAGTCTACGCTCAGATAAGGCCTACAACCCTCTAAAACCCCCTCAATGCAAGGACTTAATGCACAAAAAAATCTATGGAAGTAAACATTGCCATCTACCTCCTTTAAGTCAATTTCAATCACACTCCTAGTGACCACTTCAATACCTCTGCCCTCCAGCTGAACAACATTTGGAAGCTCTCCTCCCAGCTGCTAAATATTTCCCTCAAGGCAATATTCCTTCCCCTCGCCACCGTGTCATAGTGAATTTCACACTTGTGTTTCTCTTGTACCTTCTTCTTCAATTCTTTAGGGCCCATGTTGGGAGTCTTCTTAAGGTGGTGAATAGCCTTTGATGCTACCCAGCAATTTGTTGGAGTGGTGGTCTTCCTCCTTGCACTAGAAGTGCATGTATGACGAGAAATCAAACATGTGACCTGCAAAATACCAATGAGTTAGATATTGACCAGCAAAAAAAATAGAGAAAAATGTTAGCCACTAGTTAAACACCTTAATGGTTGCCCCATCAGGTTGCCTCCTTCCAACAATATGCCACGGGCAACCTTCTGCATTGCAATTCCCAATGTATCGTTGTGGCTCAGATTTTACTATGTGCAGCTCGAACTCCTCATTTATTGCAAACTGCCTCATAGCTAATCTAAATTCTTTTATGTTAGGGTACACAATGTCAATGTCCATACAAGGGTTGTTTGGGTCATAGATTAAGATTCTCTCCCCTGGCACATGATCGTCAACAGGAATGGCAGCCCTAGCTGTGTCAATCTCCTTCTCAATAGTGGCATTCCTATTTTCAGGCCCATTTTCCATCTCTATAGAAGCCTGCTGCTCTTGAGATCGATGTTCATTATCCTTGGTTCTCAAACCCGACAGACAAAATAATTGATCATCATCAATTATTTCTTGCATGCCCTCACCCTCTTCATCATTTGTGTCAACAATCTGTAGGTTGTCCCATTCATCACCTCCATAATATTCTATAGCCAATGCATTGCCACTAACATCACCACATCCATGGTCTACAGACTTTGCATTGTCATCAACATCACAACCATCTACTACAGTGTCTATTCTAAGCCCAGGCTCCACATCGAGCCTGGATAAAGCGAATGCAAGAAATATAGTTAAAATTCTATTCGAACAACTCTATCAACATTTCGAACTATGTTCAAGGACTACAAATACAAGAGAGAGAGTGCATACCGAGGAATTAGACCACTTCAACTGCAATCCATGGGGCGGCGCCAGCTTAGGGGACGCGTCGGCTGGGGACGCGCCGGCCTGGCGCGTCAACCTGGGCGTCGGCCTGGCCCACGGCCTAGGGCGGAGCTGAGGCGAGAGGCGGCACCTGGCCTAGTGCGGCGGCGGCGCTTGGATGGCCTGGGGCGGCGGCAGCACTTGGATGGCCAGGCGGAGGCGGGAGGTGGCACCTGGATGACCAGGCGGAGGTGGGACGCGGTGCCTGGATGACTGTTTTGACCATGAACGGGGAACGATGACTACTGTATAAGGAGAAAGTAGGCAAGAGCAGAAGTGGAAGGATATGTCTTTTTTATACGAATTAAAACTATTTAAAATATATTTCAGCGGATTACGCTAGTTTCGTAATAATAAATGAGCAGACGGTAAAAATACGAAATCCCAAAGTCTCCGCGCAGCCCAACCAACCAGGGCACCACGCAACTACCACCACCACCACCGTCAACACCCCCGTCTGGCCGTCTCGCCACGCTCGTCCGACCGTCTCCAACCGGGCTCCGTCCCGCCGGCCGCATCACCCACGGGAAGTACAGCCGCGCCCCCACCCGCGTTCCCCGCTCCGAGACCTGATCGTACGGCTGGGGGAGGCTACCGCGCCTCCCGACCTCGCTTCCGCCTCGCCTCCCCGACCGGACCAGCGGCCTCCGTCTGAAGATGCAGGGCGGCGTCTCCGGATTCCGTAAGCCGCTACCGCCCCCTAGATCGCCGGAATTTTGCGTCTCTCGCAGCTCGTGCTTGTACAATTTTTCTGATCGAGGCGGCGCGGGCGCCGTTTTCCCTTTTGGTTCCAGAGAACGCGCCGGTGACGCGGGCGGTCGTCCTCTCGAGCGGCCTCCTGTCCGTCGTCTTCAGCGCGCAGCGCCGCGCCCGCGCCCTCGGCATCTCATACCAGGTGGGCCGAATCTCGCCGGTTTCTGCTCAGTCTGCTGCGCTTGCGGTTAGGTTTCCCGAATTCGTGCATTCGTTGTGACACGCCCCTTAGCTTTATTTTTGGTGGCGCTTTGGTTTGGTTGTATGGACGGTGTCTAATCTCCGGGGCTGTAGGTAATGGTGTGCAGTTGTGGTCTTCAACGGATGTTAGGTTTTCTCTGTGGTGTTAGCGAAATGATGTGTAGGTGAAGTTTATCTTATGCAGCTTAAATTGGTATCTAGGGTTTCAGGTTTCGGATTTGTTGTGGAACTGGGAGTAGTAGCTCTTGATTGTTGGAGGTTATAGATGTGGAGGGGTGTTGGTGGGACAGACATGAATTATGCTTGTAGGAATTATTTAAATGGAGGATGGGTTGCTCATGAAGTAGATTAGAAATAATGTGGCTGGTACCAGTTAGGACTGGATGGACTAGAGTTTTAAGCTGACCTGTGGAATAAGCTAGTGCGATCCAGGGCAGTGATTTGTTAGATGGTTGATGTAGGAAATGATATATGGGTTTAGACATCAGTTGTACACAGATGGGCAGTGCTGCCATTATTGTCAACAGAAAGTGAAAGTGAGGGGTCAGATGATCTCCACTGCAGTTGAATATCCATGTGCAGTCACATCTCCAAGACTCCATTCCCGGTGACGCTATAGTACATGTAGGGCGTACCCAGTGCAGAGAGCTTCCGCTCTGTGCAGGGTCTGGGGAAGGGTGTCAGTGGCAAGCCTTACCCTCGCCTGTGCAATGCGAGGAGACCGCGACTCGAACCCGGGACCTTCCGGTCACAGGCGGTAAGACTCTACCGCTTGCACCAGGCCCGCCCTTCGCTATAGTACATGTAGCCTTGTGCATTTTTTCCTGTTATAAGAGTTAGAATCGAATTAACTGATTGCACCACTTAAAATTCGTGGAACTTGTATATTAGTTAACTAGCACTGCATGTCAAACTATGTATGGCTTTTTGCATGGTCTGCGTTCTGAAAATTAATTTGGCAAACTAAAATTCACGATATGCAGAAGGTGTGAGAAGCTTAGCTGATATTATGGATTAATATCACCAACAATAATTAGGGTGCAAGATTATATGGCTAGCATGAAAGCATTACTTTTATATAGGTGAACCCTCCACTCTGATATGTTGCACAAGATGTGTGCACTATGTGGTTTCACGTTTCAGTGATTGACTTCAGATTTGTGATTCTAGAAATTAATTCATAAATTGTGGCATGTTGGTATCATTTATATCAATGTGCCATATGAATGCTTATTTGTTGAAATTGATAGGAAATTATAAAAGCTTCAAAGGAGCTTGAACTGCATCCTTTGTTTTTAAGGCCCTTGGCGATGAGATGCTCGCAGGGAGTAAGGTGTACCCGACGAGACAATGGTAGTAAGAGATCCAAGGGGACTGGAGACAGAACAGAGGAAAACAGTAGGGAACCAACCAGAAAGGCATGCAGCAACCTCCTCTCATCCATACCAAATTTGGCACCGCCGCCTGGCGCGCAGCGCCGCCTGGGTCATCTGCAGCAACGTTGGATGATCCAGAAGGGGGCCATGACAGAGATCGATCTGAGGGAGCAACGCAGTGAGGAGCAGCAGCAAGAGGGAGGGAAGGAGCGGAGGGCAGGCTGCGCGCGAGAGCAGCGCGAGGGAGGGAGATGCAGCGGTGCTGCACCTGCGTGAGAGGGGAGCGTGCGTCCCTGTCCCCGTGATGGCGTGACCTGAGAAGGGGTGTGTACGGGAGGGCATTCATGGGTTGCCTAGTGGGCTGGGCGATCATTTCTCTTTTCGTTTGCTCGTTTCTGTTTTTTTCGTTTTCCTTTCTCTTTCCTCCTTCCTGGTGCTATTTTCCTATTTCTTTGGATGGTAAGGCGGCGTCTCGCCTCGCCTTATGAACGCATAGGCGTTGCCTAGGGGTTGTGACTTGTGAGGGCGATAGGTCACCACACCTCACCTTGCTGCCTTAAAAACCATGACTGCATAATAGAATTACCTGTGGAATGTGAAGTTCACTGTCAATTCGTTACGTGTGATTATTTATTTCATAACTATCAATGGGTGAATTGATTAAAGTCCATATCTTGTACCATGCCTTTTGCCAGAACAGTAATTGTAATTTTCCGTTGTATGATTAGTTTGGCACCCTATCTTTTAAATCCCTTATGTTTTGTACCTAAATATGTATTTAGAAATGTTTGACATCCTTGGGAAAATTGAATGTTAACTCTTGATTATAAGTGGCAACTGGCAAGGTGCCTTAATTTGTATATTTGTCCTTTATTTCATCTACATCTTTGATCTTACTCTTTTTTTATTACTTGTCTAATCACTGACTGCGGTCTTGAACTTTTTATATTTATAAGAAGTTTAATCATTCTGAGATTAAGTCTGATCAATTATTTCTATTATTATTTCAGGACACTATAACGAATTTCCGTTTATGGAAGATATTCCCATCTGTATTTGCTTTTCAGTCAACACCGGAGTTAATGTTTGGACTGTATCTTCTGTATTACTTCCGTGTGTTTGAGAGGCAGATAGGCTCTAACAAATACTCGGTAGGTACTTTACCTTTTATATTTCTCCCTAGTATTCTAATGAAATGGAAAAACAGCCCTCTCAAAGAAAATTTAATAAACAACACAAACAACTTGTTATAAGGAGTAACTTGCACCAATAGTCCCATAAACTGGGATGGCTTGCACTTTTGACGATGAACTTGAGAACTTAGCTTTCTAGACTGTGGGCTTGGAAAGTGGTCCCATGATTTGTAGTTCTCCTGTGCACGTGGCTATGGAAGTCCAAAATACATGAAATTTCATGGGCATGTGATCAAGCTTTATTGCCAAATTAGTTGAGTTTTGCAAAAGGTTCCAAATATAACACTACTTGTGAACAATTATGATATCATGCTTGTTCATTTTTTTTCCATTTGACTGTGCAGGTTTTTTGTCTGTTCACTATCACAGCATCATCACTCCTCGAGATCCTGTCATTGGTTATCCTGAAAGGTAAATTAATGAATTAATGAAGAAACTTCTAAATAATGTCATTTGGGGTCACTCAAGTAATCATATATCTTTTAGTGCACTTGATAGCTATCCGATCTGCTTACTTCCTAAATAACTCACATTCACTCTAAAAGCGGAGCTTCCATTCTCCTGTTCTCTTTAATCATTGGTGTAGTTTTTTTCTCGAACAACGCAGGAGAGCTGCGTGACATTTAATTAAGAAGAGATAAAGTTCGGAGAGACAAGAGTCTACTCCTAACAAGGGAGAGACTCCCAAATCCACAGTCACATCATTGTTATAGTTTCGATTAGAAAATCAGGAAATGACTGCCATATTTGATTGTAAACAGAAATACTATAGTGTATGTTAGCTTTTGATAAGATAGAAGCAGATGTGTCAATAATGTAGAGCATCTCTTTGGTACAAATTTTCAAGCTAGTGTAATATTTTGTAGAACTTATTCCCATAATTTTTTTATTTTAGTAAACCTGGTATCTAGGGTTCCAGGCCCGTTTGGCTCCATTTTGCTGTGCTGCAGTATGATTCAGATTCAAATTAGCTACAGTCTTTATGAATTCCAAATAAGTTCACTTCATTTTCCAAAGATGCTTTCAATTGGAAGTGCTTGAAAAGCTTCTGGAAACATGGCATTTGTGTTTTCTGGAGAAAGTGTAATTATTCTGTAGAGTCTAGAGAAGAGCTCTATTCATCTGTTCCAGAGCATTCAGGAAAATTTGTCTCCCTGATTCTGTTGGATAGAACTCTTGACTGAATGCTCTTCACCATTTCAGAGTAGCTAACATTTTAAATATGTTAGATAAGCCCGCCTTCTGCTATTTGTCACATCATTCCCTTGATATTTTATCTTATGTTGATTAGTGGCTTAACTATGAGCATTATTTTTTAATCATGTTTCGAATTATATCTTATATGCCAATTGATGGCATAATCATGAGACTGTGCACTTGTTAAGTCTTCCTCTTCCATTTTTCTTGCAGATACAAACTACATCAGTACGCTTGCATCAGGGCCTTATAGTCTCATATTTGCCTCTTTTGTTCCGTTCTTTCTTGACATTCCAGTCACATCACGGTTCCGTATTTTTGGCCTGAATTTCAGTGACAAATCGTTCATTTACTTAGCTGGTCTTCAGGTCAGTCTCTTGTCATAATCATAACCGAATCTATCTGATTTTGTATTTTTTTTTTCAATTCAGTCATTACCTCTTTTCTATTTTACCTGGCAGCTCCTTTTATCTTCTTGGAAGCGCTCCCTTATTCCTGGTATATTCGGTCTGGTTGCTGGTTCTCTCTATCGTCTAAATGTGCTTGGCATCCGCAAGATGAAGGTTACTAAACATCTCCTTTCCAGCTTGTATTTTAGTATGGTATTGTTTCTTGGTTTGCTTTCATATTTCCATTACAGTATTCTTCACTCATAGTCAGGGCATCAGCAAGTTAACTTCCTGAATTACTAGAGATATGGAATCCAACCAAACCAAGTACTAGCTCCCTTGTTACATCCTTTGCATGGGTCCGATCTAGTAAATACCATATAACCCCTCATAAAAGAAAAGAAAGAAGTAAAGCTCAGACAGTGACCGGATCGCACAAGATCGCATTTCATCAGCTTTTTTCTTGAAATTTTATTGGTTATTTACCTATTTGTTATCATATATTCCTTATCCCTATTCCCTAGCCTTTTATTTCCCTTTTCTTGTTACAGTGGTCATGTACCTCATGCACAAGGACTACATATTCTTTGAAATGCACTACATGTCTTTTCCCATGCACAAGGATAAATAGTCTTTTATTTCCCTTTTCTTGTTACAGTGGTCATGTACCTCATGCACAAGGACTACATATTCTTTGAAATGCACTACATGTCTTTTCCCATGCACAAGGATAAATAGTCTATTTCCATTCAGAGTGTAAGATTCATCATGAAAAGTACTTCTCATATTTTATGTTAGTCGCTGAATTCTCACTCTTGGTAGTAGGAGAATTCTTACTCTCATCGAGAGAGGATGACACTAGGAGTTGGGGCAATTTTCTTGTCTATTTCTCACACAAACTCACACAAATGCCATACCAACCTGAGGGGTTGGGGTTATATATTTATAGGCTGCTAGCCAGCCAAGCATATACCAAGATGCTAGTCTAAGATGCTAATATGCTGTCCTAGCTAAGATGATGTCCTCTAGTCTAAGATGCTGTCATTTAGTCTAAGATGCTGTCCTAAAAACAGAAAAACAGCCACAAGGACCATGTGAGTAGCACAGCTCCACAAAGACCAGCCACACATGAGACTTATCCATCATTCTCCCCCTAAGTCTTGTGCGTCATCTTGTGGGAGAGTTGAACCATCCCGGTCCTAGGAGCAGAGCTCAAGGAACTTAATCCTCCCAAGGGGCTTGGTGGCGAGTGTCCCAAGCTGGTCCTTGGTGTTGATGTAGCTTCGCCTTGATGCTCCCTTCCTCCAAAACGACCTCGGATGAAGTGGTACCTCACCCGGATGTGCTTGTTGCGTTAAGTGGAACATGGGGTTCTTTGCGTGGGCAGAGCGGACTTCTTTGTCCACCCCGAGCTCCACCGCTCTAGTGTCTCTCGCCGAGGAGATCACCAAGCGATCGGACGAGCAGAGCGCTCGAGTCGAAGCGGTGGAGGCCGCTATGTACTCGGCCTCGCTTGGTGAACAGGCCACCACTGCCGCTTGACCGATTGCTAGCTAACAAGGCACTTGCCGAGGAAGAAGAGGATCCCGCTCGTGCTCTTCTTTGGTGTCGATGTCGCCGGCGTGGTTCTTTGTCGGCCAGAATCGACGTAGTGTGCCGCCCAGGCACCTAGGGTAGTAGAGGCCGTGGTCGAGCGCCCCCATAACGTAGCGGATGATCCTCTTCACTGACTTCTTTGGTGCTCGTTGTTGTCGGTCATTTGCATGAACCGACTAACGAGCCGACGGAGAATGCCAGTCCGCCGTGTGTGTGGGCGAGGTAGCGAAGGCTCCCCACAAGACGCCGCAGATCTTGCGAAGCGCCCACCTCCTCCGCTGCGTCTTTGTCGTGGCTCGACTTGACCTCTCCTCCATCGGAGTGAGAGCTGGGTTGCGATCAGAAGCCCAGCTAGCTCAAGCTCAACGGCGCTTGGCGTGGCGGTCTGTCAAGCGTGATCCCTGAGTCATCCGGTGCACCTCGATCCCCAGGTAGAAGGAGAGAGGTCCCAGGTCACTCATCTGAAAGGTGGCCATCATTTCTTCCTTGAATGTCGCCACCTCCGCATCCTTGGTGCCGGTGATCACCAAGTCGTCGACGTAGACACCCACCCGCCAGAGCATTTCCTCCTTCGCCCGTCGGTAGATGGTCGCCTCGTCTGGGCTTTGCTCAAGCCCATCCCCTTTAGCGTGGAATCCGACTTGGCATTCCACGCCCTCGGCTCTGCCGCAAGTCATAGAGGGCCTTGCGCAAAGTGAGCACCTGCCCTCCTTGCCGTGGATCGCAAATCCCGGTGGTGCCGGTGCATCGAGACCTCCTCCTTCAAGTCGCCGTTAAGGAACGCCGACTTGACGTCAATGTGATGAACACGCCGACCCTCCCGAGCGGCTTAGCGCGAAAGTCGTCGACGGACTCCATCCGTGCCACGGGAGCAAAGGCGTCGTCGAAGTCGACCCCCCTCGTTGCCACGAAGCCTCGTGCCACCAAGCGAGCCTTGTGCTTGACGATGGCACCGGCTTCATCCTCTTCGACTTGTACACCCACTTAAGGGTGATCGCGCGGTGACCACGAGGAAGGTCGACAAGCTCCTAGGTCGCGGTTCTTCTCAACCGCATCCATCTCCAATCGCATCGCGGCGCGCCATGCCGCGTGTCTCTCAACCTCTCGTGATACGCATCGAGGGCTCGCCGTCGTCACACGCAAGGTGCAAGCGCGCCTCCAGTCGTGAGGCACCGTCCCCGACCGGGTGGTCACCGAGAAGGTTCTCCATCGACGGTACCGCAATGGCTCGCCGCCGTGGTACGCGCTGCGTCGCGCGCTCCTCGTCGTGAGAGAGCGGAGTAGCGAGCTCAACCGGCCGTGCTCGACACGGTAGCCGGAGTAGACGTGTCGGAGAGGTGTCTGTCGATGCCGGAGTGCGTGGCGTTGCCGGTGTGGTGGAGAGCGTGAAGAACTCATCGCACCGAGGTCTGGCCGGAGAGCGTGGTCTTTGTCGAGAATAGCAGCGCCGGGTCGGTGGAGGCTCGGGGATGGGGTAGACGCGCTTCGCCAAGAAGAGCCGCCTACTCTCCCAGCTCCCTCGAAGTGGACGTACTTTCGACAATGAAGTCGTCGACGTCGGAGCCAAGCCATCGTCCACCGCCTTGTCCCACGCCCATCTCGCCTTCGCCGTCGAACACAACGCGTTGCGCGCGCAGGCGTGCGCTGCCGTGTCTTGGTCGGAGGATGCGGTAGGCCTTCGAGCCCTCCGCGTAGCCGATGAACACTCCCGAGTGCTCGTCGCCGAAGCTTTGCCGATGTGGCCAAGCTCCTTGGCGAACGCGAGGCGGTACCAAGACCCGCAAGTGGGAGACCGCCGGCTTGCGCCCATGCCAAGCCTCGTACGACGTCCTGCCGTCGAGCGCCTTGGTAGGCGAGCGGTTGAGGATGTAGACGGCCGTCACCACCGCCTCTCCCCAGAAGACAGCCGGCATCCCCCTCTGCTTGAGGAGGGCCCGAGCCATCCCCACAACCGTCTGGTTGCGCCTCTCGACGACGCCGTTCTGCTGCGGGCTGTACGGCGTGGAGTAGTGGCGCTGAATGCCCTCATCAGCGCAATACTACGCGAATTCAGCCGCCGTGAATTCGCCGCCGTTGTCGGTGCGCAACACGCGCAGCTTGCGGCCGCACTCCGCCTCCGCAGTAGCCTGCGCGCGCCTAATGGCGTCCGCAGCTTCTCCCTTGCTGCCGAGGACCATCACCCACATGTAGCGGGAGAAGTCGTCGACTAGCAGCAGGAAGTAGCGTCGTCCTCCCGGTGTGGCCGGTGTCACCGGCCACACAAGTCCCCGTGCACTAGCTCGAGCCTCTCCTTGGCTCGAAAGCTCGCCCGCTGGGGAAAGGGGAGTCGCCTCTGCTTCGTCAACACGGAGACGTCGCAGAGCTGCTCCACATGGTCGAGGCACGGCAGGCCTCGCACCATCTCAATGGCACTAAGCCGCTTCAGGGCCTCGAAGTGAAGGTGCCCGAAACGCTCGTGCCACTGCCACGCCTCGTCGTCCCGACGAGCAGCGAGACAGAGGGGTTGTGCCACCTGCACGTTAAGGACGTAGAGTCGATTTGCGCTTCTGGATACCTTGGCAAGAAGGCGACGACGGCGATCCCAAATCCTCATGACTCCATCCTCAACCACCACGCTGCGAACCGTTCTCATCCATTGTCCCCAAGGCGATGATGGAGTTCCTCAACGCGGGATGTAGTAGACTCCGGTGAGCGGTACTGTGCTCACCGAGACACAGCAGTGAAGATGATGGAGCCGACGCTTGATCTCCACGCCGGAGGCATCCCCAAACCAGCGAAGCCTCGGACGCTAGAGTCAAGCTTCGGTGAAGAACTCCCGTCGACCGGTCATGTGATGGGTGGCGCGGTGTCGAGGCACCACCCGTCGATCTTGTTGTTGCGAGTCGTCGCCGAGGAGGCGTGTGCTTTTGGCTCGTCAAGGTGGAGGAGAGCTGCTGCCGGGCCACCGGAGGTAGCTCGACGTTGGCATGTGCCATGAACAGTAGCTGGCCTCCGCCGCTTTGGCGACGTGGGCCTGGCCGCGTCGTGGTTGTCGACGATCCTTGGCCCAATGGCCAAAGCCGGCCGATTGCGGCGCAGTGTAAATCTCATGCCGGCTTGTGCTGCCGCGGTGGCCGCCTGGCGCCTCGCATGGCATCACCCTCGGACGTCCTCGCGCCCGGCCGGCTGGCGTCTCTGGCTGGCTTGCCACGCTTATGCGGCCGCTGTCGCGGAAGAAGGCTCCCCTTCCTCCGGTCACCTTGGCGGCAAGCCCGCTGCTCCCAGTGAGAAGGAGCTTCCCGCCCCGATGGTGATGGGCCCCGAGAGGGATCGTGGCTCATCATTGCCGACAACCTTGAGGCGACCTATCGCCTCCTCGATCGACATCGTCGTGGAGATCCGAAGAGAGACTCGATCGAAGCGAGCCATCCGCTTGTACTTCTCGGGGACGCAATGGAAGAGCTTTTCGACAGCTCTCTCTCCTCGCCAGAGGTGTCGTCGCCGAATCGCACCATCTTCTCGCAGCAGAGTGTTGAGACGGAGAGCAAAGTCATCAACGTCCTCACACGGCTTGAAGGCGTGTTCTCCCACCTCCTTGCGAAGTGCTGCAGTGTGGACTTGCGGGCGCGGTCGCCGCCGCCGATCGCGTCTGCATGGCGATGGCGTCCCAAGCCTCCTTGGCGATCCGCTTGTCGGTAAGCGAGAAGCGCATCTCTCAAGGGATCGCATCGATGAGAGCATCCGGCGCCCGTCGATCTAGGTCGTAGTCGGCGTCGCCGTCGCACCGGACCGCCTCCCACATGTCTTCGCACACGAGCTTTACCCTCATCACCGCAGCCCACTCGGACGTAGTTGGTCTTGGTGAGGGTAGGCCACCCACCGCCGGGACCGGCGTCCCGACAACGACTGGAGCCCGTGGTAACCACGGTACCGATCCGGGGAGAGAGCCACGCTGCCTGTGAAGGTCACGCTCTCCATCGACCCGTCGGTACCGATCCGGGGAGAGAGAGCCACGCCGCTCTGTGAAGGAAGGCCGCGCTCTCCATCGACCCGCCCGCCACCGTTGCCGCTGCGCGCCTCCTCCAGAGCGCACCGCGCGTCGCCGCTGTCTGGCTGCCGCTGCCGGCGCGTGTGGCGCTGTTGGCTGTGAGCGCCCGCCGCGGCGCGCCTCCAGAGCGCGCCGCCGGTAGCGTCCGCGCCGTTCAGGCTGCCACCACGCCGTGGCGCGCGCTTGGCGCCTTCATCGCGGCCGCGCCGGCCTTGCCTCCCTCTCTAGTAGCTTCGAGGTCCGCGTCGGCGGTGTGTCGTCGTGAAATGGAGCTGCCGATCGCCGCTGCGCAGCCTCGACCTCCGCCGCTGCCGCCGCCGCCGCTGCGCTCGCCTCGCGGCTGCTGCCATTGCCGCTCCGCTTTGCCCGACCTCGGCGCCCTTGCCACCGCCGCGGTCTCTCTGCCGCCGCTTCGCTCGCGTTCTCCGCGCGGCAAGTTTGGCCTCCTCGCCAACGCCCGGCGTGCTCGAGGCGACCGAAGGCCGAGATCGCCGCCCTGCGGACATGACGCGCCACTCGGGGGACTGCTGCTGCGGGGAGAGAGGCTGCCAGCGAACTGCCTGCTTTTCGTCTGCTGGGGAGGAGTGAGCAGGAGCGGCCGGAGCTGCTGCTCGCAGCTGGGGCTGTTGTGTGGCTGGGAGGGGAGATGAGCAGGAGATGCTCAGGCTACAGGATAATATGGCTCTGATACCAGTTGTTAGTCGTTGAATTCTCACTCTTGGTAGTAGGAGAATTCTTACTCTCATCGAGAGAGGATGACACTAGGAGTTGGGGGGAGAATGATGGATAAGTCTCACATTTTATAATTGTTTTTGTTTGGTACGCCCTTTGGAATATCATATTTTCATAAGAAATGCTAGTAGAGGTGGTCGCCTTGTAGACTCTGTCGATGTCCTAAACAACTTATATTTTGAATTGGAGTACTACAATTGCGAATGCATATAATCTTCTTTCCTGTTTGGTATTATAAAGTTCCTGCCTCTTGTACAGCTTCCACAGGTTATTTCATCATTTTTTGCAAGATACTTCGCCCCTTCCCCAGGAAGCACATCTCGCCCCTCCAGGAGTCTTGTTGGAAACACACCGTCCCAAACAGGCCGTGCTGTTCAGGTTACCTTCTAAAGAACTCAGTTAATTTCTGTGTGCAATGGCCCTTGGATCTAGAACCAATATATAATATAATTTAGCTAGAATCTTGTGGTGGCTTTTCGAATATTTGACATAGTTGCTTGTTTATGGCATAAAAAAAAGTTCCCTATTTATATGAAGTGCAGTTGACATTTGACAACTCAAACATGTTTTAGCCGATAACTGTGCTTGATATATTATTTCTTTATCTCAAATATGAATGATGTGTCCATTTATTACATATATATACTTAAATTCCAAGTTACAAATGCAAACTTGCCGTTATGATACATTAGTCTGGGATTACATTATTGGTAACTCATTGGTTTCTAGGTCTCATCTGTTAGTCTTGTGACATTGTTGTGCTATTATTCTTATTCTACTATAAAGATGAAGTCTTATCAACTACTCCCTCCATTTCAAATTATAAGTCGTTTTGACTTTTTTGGTTCATCCATTTTGCTATGTATCTAGACGTATTATTATATCTAGATGCATAACAAAATAGATGTACCGAAAAAGTCAAAGCGACTTATAATTTGGAACGGAGGGAGTACGTACTAAGCATTTCATGTAATGAAAATAAATTACCAGCTGCTGTTTAGTTGATCAGCCTGTTGTGCACTGCTGACTTTGTTCTCACAAGCAGAATCAGCCATCAACTGGATTTGCACCTCTCGTGGAGCCTCCAGAGTCCTCCGTTGCTATGCTGGTCTCAATGGGCTTTGATGGCAATAACGCAAGGCAGGCACTCGTGAGGGCAAGAAATGACATCAACGTGGCAACGAACATCCTACTGGAAGCACAGTCTCATTGAACTAACGCACTGCAACTTTCGGTGGTAAATTTGAGGGAAGAACTTATATTCCAAGATGAACAAACAATATGAGCACATTGGACTACAGATCGGTAGATTGGACTACAGATCGGTAGATTAGTGCCTCATTTCATATACCTTGAACTGGAGTTGTTCGATACCACCCTTGCAGGCCGACAGTTTAGGAAATCAGCGTATACATTTGCGGCAGTTAGTTTGATCGTGTCAATACTTAGATACCTTACATACAGAGAATGTAATATTCCAATTTCAGCTTGTAGGATAGATGATATATACATTCATAGTGTACAATTCATCAGATGTTTACGGCTTTGGAACTCGTTCCAGCACGATACGTGGATCGTGCCGAGTTCCTTGATGTTGCAAAGGAAACGAGGAATGACATTAGGGACTAATAAAATTTGACCTTGTTTTAGGCCGAACAAGAAATAAAACGTGATACGAAGACTAAACATACCCGAACAGGCTTGGGTGCAATATTTTCCTAAATGCAAAACGGTTGGTCATCTACCATTCAGCCATTAAACGGGCTAAATGATCAAATAAAGATGGGTCATCTACTATTTTGCCATAAAACGTGCTAAATGGTCATTTCCACGGATGAAACTCGACCAACCGTTCAGTCACTAAACAGGCTAAGGCTCCGTTCGCGTGCCCTTCAACCCGGCTCCGCTTCTTTTTTCATTCGGAACAGTGTTTTTTCCTCACAAATTCCTTCAGCATTCCTCAAAACCATCCAAATTCCTCCAGAATTCCTCCAAGCGAATAGGCCCTAAATGGTCAAAAACGTGTAGTTTAAATGGGATAAAAGGTTAACTGACTCCGTTTGACAGAGCTTCTCCAAGGGCTTCAGGAGCCACTTTCTGTCAAACGAGATAAAATGAAACGGCTCCACCGATGAAGCCCCTAAAAACGTGCTCTCACAGAGCTTGGGGGTGGGAAGGAGCCAAAAATAGTGGTTTCTCCCGGCTTCACCTCATCCTACATGGCATTCTGTTAGAGCATATTTTAAAAAACTTTATATGTAGAACTGTTTTGCCAAACGATTTACCAAAACGACTCCAGCCCCACTGATAGAGCTGTTCATGGAGCTGAAGCTCAAAAAAACGGCTCCACTAGTGAAGTGGAGCCGTACCAAACGGGATCTAAACAGAAACGGTTTGTCATCGTGTAGTGTCAAACAACGTGTTTAATGCGCCGAACAACAGTTTAGATGAGTAACTCATAGGTGAGTTGACTTTTCGCTTTTGTTTGTCTTTGTTAGATTTGTTACCTTGGTCATCTATGTCTATTTTCTTTTCTGACTTTAGACCATATATCATCTCATGGCATAGCCCTAGTGCCCTACGCCCCCTACCTTATCATCACATGCTCTCTCTGTTTTAACTGTCGATTTCACTTTCCGAGAAATCAAACGCACTCAATTTTGACTAAATATATATAAGAAAATATTAATATTTATAGTATTAATAGTACATAATTAATATCATTAGATAGATCGTTGAGTTTATATTTATAATAAACTTATTTGGATATATAAATGTAGCTAATATTTTTTATATACCTAATTAAACCTAAGAAATTTTGACTAGCATGAGTACCATAGCAATACTTAAAAAGGCATTTAAAAAAGGACAGAGGGAGTACAAATCAGAAAATTTAGGCACCAAAATAGATATATCAATCTTGAAAGTCGTTGTCTTAAAACCTCTGGAGACACAAAAATCCTGACAGAGCAATGTTCCAATGTGAAGTACAAATTTTGGGTGTTGGAGAGGGTTTTAAAACACCCGAACCAAGTTTCTGGAATCAAATAAATAAATCCTAAAATTCACTAAATATAAGGGCACTCCCTGCATTCCAAAACAAGTCTCCATCTTATATTTTGAGGAGTCAACGAATCTTAAATTTAACTAGATGTATAGAAAATAGTAACAACATTTGTATCTCCGGATAGATTTAATAAGAAAATTATATGATGTGATTAATCTAATAATATTTATCTCAATATCATAAATATTAGTATTTTTAAAATATATGGTTAAAGTTAAGATTGTTTTATTTCTCATAATGTGAGATGAAGACTTATTTTGGGAGGAAGGGAGTAAATTTGATAGAGATTAGATACCAAAACGAAAGAAAAATATATACAACGGGCTTGTTTGGTTTGCATGCTGAAGCAATTTTGCCTGGACCAACAGCTACAATATTGCCTAGTGCATTTGGTTGGAGCCCTGGATACAGGCCAGACGAGGGCACCCTCATCCAGGTCTCCGAAAACTGTCGCCTGGCTGCAACACGTTGCTGCCTGAGCAAATCGATAGGATAATGTATTTTGTCTCTTTTGTTTTTTTTTTCGTTTTTTTGCTGCAGTCATTTACTCTTGTTTTTTTTTCTGTTTGTCTCAACATCAAGATATAAAGTTGTGGCCATAACACCTTTCTATGTTTCCTTACATATCTATTCTTTAATTATATGATAAATAGTTATTAAGTAAAATAATAAACTTTTTATTTTTATATTATTGATTCATAAGAGCGTTTGACTGTGTATATTACTCGAATAATATAAGTAAAGTTATATACATAAGAAAATATATTATATCTCTTTATTAAACTTCTCGAACATAAGCTTTCAACTAAATCTAAACTATCTTTCTACTTACCTGGCCAGGCAAATTTTATTAAAAAATCTAAGCTAACTTCTGAGCAACACTTTGTACCGAGCAACTCTTCAACAAACAGGTCTTAATTCCTTCACTAAGACTATCTCCAACAAAGAATCCATATAGACACTTAAACCCAAAATAGGTAGCAAGAGACCCAAAATCAGTCTCCAACAGAGTACCTATACGGGAGACCTATTTTGGTTGTTTGAGAGCTACGACTCAGATATGGGCATCCTCTCTCCTAAAAACCCATTTACAGAAATGATTTTTTTTTTATCCGGTTGTTGGAGAAGATACCGAATATGTATTTTTATCTATAGCACTACCCAAATGACAAATATGTTTTGTATTTTGAGTATTGTGGCTGGAAAAAGCCTAAGTACCATGGAAGTGCCGTGCCTGCATACGTTGCGAGAGAAAATGGAAATTTTGCCATCTCCTCGTCCGTTTGACATCCCGCAAAAACGATTCGCGCTGGGGCCATCCCGCAAAAGGTGGAGGTCGGTAATGTCGTGTAGCTGCGATGGGACGACTGGAGCTAGGGCCCCGAAGGTGGGCGTCTACTCAGTCATGGATGGCGCGTGCTTACTCGGGCTGGCGGCGGCAGCGGCGGCGGCGAGCTGGCGTTGGGGCGAGCGGCGGCCTAGGGAAGAGCAGGCAGCGGGATGGCCAGGAGCAGCGCAGCACGTGCTGGTGTCGGGGCGGCCGTGGCGGCCTGGCGTTGCTGCTGGCGCACGGCCACATTGGCACACTCGGCAGTGGGTAAAACAGGAATGAAAAAAATAGATATAATAAAAAAATTATTATATTTTGGAAGAAAACGGTTTAAGGGTCCGTTTGAATCCGTGGAATTGAATTTATTCTAATAATTGCAATTTATGTGTAAATTAATTAAGCTAATATAGTTATATATTGAATATATATGTATATTATTGTTAGTCATACGAGGGATATACTTGGTATGTTGCATTTTTATTATAGGGAATTGATTGAAGAGTGTGCTATAAGTTGGAAAGTAGAAATATAGCATGACGATCTGTAGAATTCATTTCCAGCTTCCACCCTATGAATTTGAGATAGACTTATTTATAAGCTTGGAAAAGTTACGGAATATCAAATTCCTAGCAAAATAGCCTAATCAATTAAGTAGATTTTAATTCCTCTAAAATAAAAAGATCCAAACGGCCCATATAAGTATTTCAGCAAGTACACTCGGTTTGATAATGGTATTGTAGGGAATCTCTTTTATTACGGGATGGCAAACGGACGAAGTTAGGCTATTTTCAATAGGAGATCTATAAGGAGACCTAAACTCAAAATGGATCTCCAACATAATACCTATAGTATTTAACATAGTACCTATATAGAAGATTCATTATAGATGTCAAGAGATGTATAACTCAAATCTGAATATCCTCTTTTCTGAAGACCTATTTGTAGAAAGAGTTCTCTTTTAAATCTTATTGTTAAAGAAGATAAAAAAAATAGATATTGAATCCTTTAACCGTAGCGTGCGGTGTTTTGGTTATGGATCGTTTGGAGACAGTCTTAACGATGGCATGGCAAAATTGCCATTTTCTCGAGTGGCGATGCCTTATCCCTCGCCGCGGAACAAGCAAAACCCTCTTCTCCCTCCAAACCCGCTGCAGCCCTTCGAATTATGGCAGCTGCCGCAGCCGCGGCCGGAGCTGCATCGGCCGCGGTCGCCAACCAAGACCCCATGAATGCGCTCCGCACAGCCGTCCTCCGCCGCTCCGCGCCGCACTGGTCAGCAGCCGCCGCTTCCTTCTTTTCCCCGCCCTTCCGCCCCCGCCGCTGCCGCTGCCGCCGCGAGCCCGCTCCTGCAGCCGCCGCGCGTACCCCGAGGTCCCGCGCGAGTGCCAAGGCCCGGGCGAAGCTCCTGGCGGAGGCTGAGCCCCGGGACCCCTGGCTCGCCTCCCTCTCGCTGCTGCCGACCGACGACGTCGCCGGTGCTGACGCCGCCCCCAACGGGTGGGCGATTGGGGTGGATCCCGACACCCGAGGCGCCATCGCCGTCCTCTCGCCTGATGGCTCCTCTCAGGTTCGACCGGCAGCCATGCTCGGATAGTCGTATAGGCTAGCATTGATATGTGTTTTGCGCAAGCGTGCTTTAGTTAGTAAAAGCAATTGGCATCATGCAGGTGTTCGACAACCCGTTCGTGCACATTGTGGTGTCAGATATCATCCGTAAGCGCCTGGACACCAAGTCCATTATCCAACTGCTCCGCGGCCTTGATGCGCCTCCTGGTAACTGTCCCTGGAGAAAACTCAGTGGCATTATGGCCACCCTTATAAGACTAAGTAGTTGTAGTAAATCAGTGACCATATTCTCTCATCATTATACCCATTATGTCGAATACACAGCTGTTTACAGTATTTTTCTGTCATTTTTGAAGGAACTATGGCATACATTGAGAAGTCTAGCCCGTTTCCAACTGATGGAAAGCTGGTTTGTTCCTTGTCTCCCGAACAATATGCCGCTAAATGCTCGTTCTTCAAGATTATTGTAGTTAGTAAACCGATTTTTTGTGCATCAATTCTTGCAGAAGTTATTGTCAGGTAGTGCCTATGAGAGTAATTTTGAGGATTATAGTGCTATCTATATCTATACTTAGTGGAACAGGCTGATGACCAATACTACTAAACAATGTCCTTGGCATTTGTATATTCATGTTTTCTAAGCTAATTCTCGCATAAGCCGAAGCTAGGCATGCCACTAAGATAATGGGATCTAGCTACACCTGGTCCACGATTTTATTGAACATGGAACCTAGTCATGCCGATTGAATATTGAATTTCATGTGTTTTGAATTATTCCAGAATTTGCCAATAATCTCCCTTCTATTGTTTTCTGGCATACAGGGATGGTGGAGCACTGGTTTCTCATATGGCTTGTGGATTGCTTCTCTAGTGGCTTCTGGGTTTTCAGTTGTTCCAGTTGCATCCCAGACATGGAAGGCTTATTTTGGGCTATCCCGAAGTGAAACACCAAAGGTTTGTCACTCTTGTTATGTGGCATATACAATAGCTTCATGCCCCTCATTTAGTAGAAAGTTTGTCTGTTTTTGTTAATTAATATATGCCACTAAGGCCAACTCCAGCCTACTAGACCTGATCAAACTCCAGGTCGGGTTGGGCTAGAAAAAAAATGTCTAGTCAAAATCTTTGGCCTGAGCCTGACCTGCCAGCCATTTCTCAGGTTTTCCTACTTTGGGTTGGGGTTTTTTCAGGTTGGGTCGGGTCATGGGTTGAAAATCATGTCGGGTCACTTTGGGGTTTTTTTTGGGGCGGGTCAGGTCAAGTGCCCCATGATCAGGTCTACTCCAGCCCAACCTTTCCTTCACTATTCTGGTTATATGTCAGTAAGGTTGTGCAGCAAGATGTCTACTTAAAAGAATATAAAGAGATGTGCTAGTTGAATGAGTAAACCTTATTGTAGGATAGCCAAGTCTTATAGGGAAAATGAATGTTTTAATCAAATTCTGGTGTAACCCATTCGTTATACATTGATGTCAGAGTCAGATAAAAACAAACGTATTTGTAGATTTTTGTTTACTTAGGCATCTGAACACAATTTTGCCCTTTCGTCTGAAGTGTTTGTCTTGCGGTCTTGCCAGCATCGATCTTCTGTTAGTCTGCTAATTCCAGATCCAACATAGTTCTCTTATATTTGCACTGTATAATTCTTACAGGATGATAGCAGACAAGCTGCTTCAATTTTGTTCCCTGACAAAGCTCAGTCCTTGAAGTTGAAAAAACACCATGGTATGCATCCTCCTAACGCTAACTGCCTATCTTCAAGTAGTTTTGATACTGAGGGCTAACATTATTGTTAGCGTCTCTCTTTTCTGTTAATGCTTATTCTGCCTGACCATCTGGAAGAAATTTGATGCAAATATGTTGTATAAATGTTGCTTTTCTGTGTGCTGTCGTGCAAGGTGCCCTGAAAAAGTAGTCAAACCAAAATTGGTCTGGTTTGCAATGCACATTAGCTAATATTTGTGACAAATTGGGAGGGAGGTATGCTCTTATGGATTTAATGCACATTAGCCAAAGTAGAGATGAGTTATATAGTTTTTGACCAATGGGTAGCATAATCCATTTTATTCAAAGACTCATCGAGAGTAGTTGGTAATATATTTTGTATAGTTTGACTGAGGCCAGTGATGTGTTTTTGTCCTTACGCAGGGCGAGCAGAGGCTCTTCTGTTAGCAGCCTATGGGAAAGGCCTTGTGTTGCCATCGGGGAAGTTCAGCAAAACCCCCGTTTGATGGCTATGGTGGTTGCCGATTGACTTGCCATTTGTAAGGGTGAGCAGAGGCTCTTCTGTTAGCAGCCTATGGGAAAGGCCTTGTGCTGCCATCAGGGAAGTCGAGCAAAACCCCAGTTTGATGTCTATGGTGATTGCTGATTGACTTGCCATTTTCTGTATTGAATTGATTGATGGTACTGCAAATATTTCAGTTCGCTTAGGAGGTCCCAATCAGGTACATAAGATATTGAGGTTGAATCTGCTGTAAGTTTGCAAACCGCAATAGAGATCATAGCTAACCCATCAACTTTCGTAAAATGCATTAGACATTTTCCATTGTGTCCTGAGTGTGACAGGCTAGCGTAGATGAGATCTGGATGTTGTAAACATGTAATGACTGGAAGCTGGAACGAACTGATTCCCCATTTCGGTTTGCTGAGTGAACATGTAATGATTGGGAGCCAGAACGAACTGACGCACCATTTCCGTTTGCTGATAGCGTTGGGAGTCTTTCCGGTGAAAGTGGTCACGTTTGCTCATTTTGCTAGACTGACATGGTTGGCAATGCTGCGCTTATTTTGCTAGATGGACATAAATAGAAATCTACTAGCTCTGAGGGCAGAATTAAATTGCTGTATTTATTTGCTGCTGTCTTGAATAGCCTCAGTCTACTTATTAATGGGCGTACCCAGTGAGCTCCCGCTCTGTGCGGGGTCTGAGGATGGGTGTCAGTGGTAAGCTTTACCCTCGCCTGTGCAATGCGAGGAGACCGTGACTCGAACCTGGGACCTTCCAGTCACAGATGGTAATACTCTACCGCTTGCACTAGGTCCGCCCTTCCCTCAGTCCACTTATTACCTTTCGCTAATTTTACTGCAATTATCTGCAGTAGGGGATCATGGTAAATTAGTCTAGCATCAGAGTTTCGAGGCGTTCGCGGTAACTTTGCTCAGAGCGGTCGCTGCTTTGGACCCAGACTGGCGTCCCAGGTGCTTGCAGATGAACTCGGCGGCGGCCATCACCTTGCCCAGGTCGACGCCCGTCTTGATGCCCAACCCGTTGAGCATGTACACTACATCCTCCGTCGCCACATTCCCTGACGCACCCTTTGCGTACGGGCAGCCACCGAGGCCGGCGACAGAGGAGTCCACCACGCTGACTCCCATCTGATTGACAAGAGGGCATGGTTTGGTCACGTCACTTTAGATTGTGTAAATGGTATTCTCAGTTTGTTACCTGGAGAGAGATGAGAATATTTGAGAGGGACTGGCCATAGGTGTCGTGGAAATGGACAGCAAGCTTCTCCACGGGAACGACGGACATAGCTGCTTCAAGCATTGGAACCACGGTACCTGGATGGTAGATGAGAAAAGCTGAAATTGTTCAGAATCTTCACAAGACCACAAGGTTGCTGTGGTTTGTGCAGCTGGAAAATGGAAATCAAGCAAAATAACAGAACTTGATCTGACATGAAAAGAAGATTGTGGTTGGCGCATGCTTGATGCTTTACCATCATGTTTTTCCAAGTGATGATATGTGGTCTTATAAACGGATCCATCTTTGAAATTATGTAAGGGTCGGCTTTGTTATTTGTTCAAGGATCTAATGAAATAGAGTAGCATCATACCAATAAGCATCTCCAAAGTCTAGCTCTAGTTACAGAAAGACGGCGTTATCTAAGCAAATCAATGTCTAACAGAAGCATAAACGAATTAGCTCAGAAGAAGAAAATATGAATATTTTTTAAAGAAACAAAACTAGGCATGCAAACTTAAGTAATATCACCTGGAGTACCGACTCCAATGGTATCACCAAGTGAAACCTCATAGCAGCCCATGTCATAAAGTTCTTTCGCTACATACGCTACGTTTGAAGGTGGTACTGGTCCATCTACTGGGCATCCAACCACACAAGAAACATACCTACATTTTTGCCACACAAAGCAACATTATATCAACTTTAGCACATATCTAGCAAACCCAAACTATTGCAGTGACATTAGTACAAACATCAAAACATATGTGGCACTATGCCAATAATTCTTTTTTTTAAAAAATCCATGCACTCATCAAAATTCTCTCATGACCACATTAATATATGAGTTAAATGCATCAGCGGCCCTCAAACTTATAAGCTTGTGTCACATAGGTCCATGAACTTTGAAAATTCATTTCTGGACCCCCTAAACTTGTCAAGTGGTGCACCGCAGGCCCATACCAGCCATGTGGCTCTTTTTGCTGATGTGGCATGCTAGCATGGCATGTATTTTTCCTTTACCCCCTCACATTTATTTTTCTCATTAAAATAATAGACCTTTCCTGTGGGGGCAACTGGTTCAGGCGCTTTAGGAAGTCCACGGCATTCCTCTTCTTGCCAAATTCCGGCCAGGACCCGCCGGAATTTTATGGAAAAATAGATGTGAGGGGCTAAATGAAAAATACATGCCATGTTAGCATGCCACATCAGCAAAAAGACGCCACATGGCTGGCATGGGCCTACGGTGCTCCACTTAACAAGTTCCGGGGTACAGAAATGCATTTCCAAAGTTCATGGACCTATGTGACACACGCTTACAAGTTCGAGGGCCACTGATGCATTTAACTCTTAATATATATATACAAGATTGGCCAAGAGACTAGCAGCGAAAGTGGGAAAGTAACATGGTTAGAAACATAAACATTATTGAAGATAGGTGCAGGCTGAAGAGTTGACAAACTGGGAGTAAAGATTGAAATCATGAATTGCTCAAACTAGCAGGATTAAAGGTATTAGTGTGCCTCTTCTAAGGCAAGTTATATTCATGATTCATGCTAGTGTTTACTATTGGTTTGGCCCATGAGTTATTGTTTAGCATTTGTCTACAAAATCTAGTAGACTGTATTTGAAGCAAGCAAATAATAAATCGTGTGCACAAAGTAGAAGAGCTCACCCTCGGACAAGAATTTCTTTCTCTTTTGCAGCAAGAGCAACATCATTATAGCGGGCAATGCTCTCTTTGATGGTGCAGTTTATGTTTGACTTGGAAAATCCTTCAGAAGCTGATGCAAATATTGCAATTTCTTTTGCCCCTGCTGCAATAGCTGCCTCAAATCCCTGATGAGTGGTGACCGCAAATAACAGGGTACTGATGAGGCAAACGTACAATATATAATAATACCATAAAAATAGTAATAAAAGCCAGTTGAATGAACATAGTTCACCTTAAGGTTTGGGGTCAATACAGGAAGACGTACACCCTCAATAGTCCGAACTGCTTCCATAACATCCTTTGCATCAGCTAACTGTAATAATAAAAATAGTATTATTGAGATTGACTGGTCATGACATAGTAGCATTAAATTAACAGTCAAGAAAAAGAAAGGTAATTTTAGTGAAATAAGGACTGGATAGAAGAACTTAAGAAGACACCAATGCCTGTAAATATAAAAAGAATGATGAATCAATCATAAAAGAGTACAATCAAGAGATTCACTTCCATCCTTAATTCCGATAATTACCCTGCCCGAAACTTAATTCCAATAGTTTTCTCATGGTGCAGTGAAAGTATATGTTCAGTAAATGTAAATCTTTTCAGAGCTTGTGCATCATCCTTGTGATGTTTCCTCTATTTATATAATTCCTTTAAAACAATACAAGTGTCCACAATCCCAAGATTGTAGATCCATTTTATTGGAAACTCAAATTCATATCAGGGTACTTTGCCCAGGCAACAGTGCCAATATCCAGCAGCACAACATATACAGAATCAATTAAACTGAAGAAGTTGTTTATTAGTTCACCTTTGAAAACAGATGTACTCTGTCTCAATGGCTACGATACCAAAGGAATATTAGTTGTGAAGGTTAGAAGTTCTATAGAAATAGGATCCAAGGTAATGGCATGACCTAACATCACAAATTCCATTCAACCTTTGGAGAGTGGCATATCCCTGCCAAGGATCCTCATATTCACAGACAAATCACCATATTGCAGCAATCTTCTGGTGACACTGGAATGGTTTGTGGCGCACCTGTTTTAGTTAAGTGAGTGGGTGTGTGTTGGTGGTGTTTTTGTACTCGAGTAGGGTCTAACCAGACTCGTGTATTTTATTTCTACCTTAATGAAATGACGCGCAGCTCTCCTGCGTAGTTCGAGAAAAAAACTAACAAATTTCCACGATGGAGACACTCCAATGAAAGAGTAAGTTTATGCTCACTCTCATTTAGACAATGTAAACAAGTCAGAACCCAATCCAAATGACTGTTCTGATGTGGATGACCTCACCATTTCTAACTTTCTACTCAACAACAACAACAACAAAGCTTTTTAGTCCCAAGCAAGTTGGGGTAGGCTAGAGTTGAAACCCAACATGAGCCCCTAGTCACGGTTCAGGCACGTCAATAGCTGTTTTCCAAGCACTCCTATCCAAACAAAGATCTCTACGTATATCCCAACCCTTTAAATCTCTTTTAATTGCCTCCTCCCATGTCAACTTCGGTCTTCCTCTACCTCTTCTCACATTGATATCTCGATTTAGAACTCCACAACACACCGGTGCTTCTGAAGGTCTCCTTTGGACATGGCCAAACCACCTCAACCAATGTTTACTTTCTACTCATTAAAACAAAATACCATGCCAGTTTACTTTAGGAGGAAAAAATATTTAATACTTTGGAAGAGATACGACAGTACTATGACATATTGGCACAAGAAAATCATGTTTATGATAAACAGGAGCATTAATTGTTTCACAACTCTGGAATGCTACACAACATAACTAGCAGCAACAAATATATCTCAAAAGATACAGCCTCAATCCTGCTTGCTCCATGAAAATTCAATAACATATTGAAGAAAAACCCAAGTTGTAAATTGGGTTCATGAGAAAATCAATGTGTATGATAGGTGCAGATAAAACAGATGTCTAATCTGTGCAATCTCGAGATCTTTTATAAAGCACTATACCTGAGGTACCCATTTTGGAGATACGAAACTTGTCGCCTCCACAACAGGTAATCCGGATGTGGCCAATCTTCGTATAAGCTCAACCTTTACAGGTGTTGGTACAATGTCCTTTTCATTCTGTAGACCATCTCGCGGCCCTACTTCCACAATTTTTACATACTCTGGCAGGTCATGTAGAACCTGGAATAGGAACTTACTTAAAATAATAATGATTGAAAGTCTAATGTAAAGCACATCATCAAGTTGTTTGGAACAAGTATCTCAAAACAACAGTCAAATCATCTCCGAAGTCTACAAAAGAATAGTAAGTAAACCAAACCAATGAATGGGTGTGGATACTTGAACACACCTTGCTCCCGGCCCATATCCTCCCTTGATGAGAAGAAGATGAAAAATATCTGTAATTGTGTTCATTCCGTGAGGAACCACCTGCACCAAAAACATGGTGGCCCAATGCAGCAGTCACTTTGCCTCGATGCAGCGTTGACTGCCTTTGATTCACCAGGCTCGTCCATAAATAATATTCCCTATTACAAAGTAGTGCAGATTTAGCTGAAGGAAATAATGATGAGGAAACCAACTGTTCCGTCCCTGAGAAATCACTAAGCACATTTCCCTTGTTTGCAGGGTGTGAGTTAGGAGTTGATAAATTATTGGGAAGCTAATTCCTGGCAATGGCACTACCCAAGTCTGGCCCTCGGCGGTTCTGAATTCTGAAGTTAGATGCTCACCTTGAATCGCCCGAGGAACTGCAAGGCGGCGGCGGCGGCGCGTCCGCCGCGTGATGACTCCCCGTCTCGCCGAACCCGGCGCCTGGGAGCATCCCAGAGCCCAGCACGGAGGAGCTCGCCAGGCCCGCCGCAGCAGCAGCAGCAGCTGCGGCGGTGGACGAGGCGTGCGGAGAGGCCAGCCTAGAGCCGACCTTGGTGGACGCCGCCAGCATCCTGCCCGCCGGTGAGCTCATTAGCTCGGGCTCAGCCGATGAGCTCCTAGAAGCTTCAGCGGGTGGGAATGGGAGGGAGGAAGCGAGGCGCGAGTCCAGGACGGAGAGGGCAGAGAAGGGGTTGGGTTGCGTCTGGGATCTGGGCTCTAACCTCCGAGAGCAGCTTTTTCTTTTTCTAAAACACACGTGCGTTATATGTTATATAGCATTTCTTTTATTATTTTGCAGCACAGGGAGCCGTTACTAACGTGGAATCTGGCGGGGCAAGATAAAAGAAGATAAGCCATCCTTCTGATCTTGTGCAACGAGTCCCATACTCATCCCATGTTCCCGTGTCGTCCTACGATTATTCTTGTAGAAAACTGAACAGGTGCAACGCCGATCATTCAGAACTCATCAACAAACAAAAGGCTACCAGGCTGAGATAAAAAAACGTCACTATAGGCTCGTGTAATGCCACCAAATTCTGCAAGGTGAAGACCAAAACCTCACCTGAAACAACCCAAAACAAAGAAAGATACTGTGGAAACGAAGTCTGCGCACCGCTTTAGCCGTCCAAAAATACACTCAGCAGTTTAACTACCCTCAGGAGAAAAGAAGTCTTTTGAATACCCTTTTACCCTCTCCCTCGTTCAAATTACTTAACTGGGGGAATTATATCGAGCGTTCAGCATGTATCCCCAATTTGCTGTGATCCTGTGTACAACAAGGTTTGTGAGTCCATACGAGGCCATTTGCACCGAGCACTACACTCAGCATTTGGTGAATATGCTACCACATCCCTCCCTCCAACTGTTTCCTACTAATGCAATATATGACCAGCCAGTGGCCACCTGTACATTGGAAATCCGGCACAACTGTTCATCAAGCCCACAGGCCACAGGCTCCCCTTGCGACGCTCTTTTGCCCCATGAACTTCAAGGAACACCACGACGCAGAGGACGATGCCTTCATGCATCTTCAGTGACAGCGTTCTCCAACCAAATGATGAAGCCCTGTCAGTATTGGGGAAAAAATATATTTAGTGCGCAAAGGATATGTTCCACACAGCAGATTCTTAGCAATAAGCACCTTCATATTTTGCATTGGTCACGGCCTTGTTCTCAAGACAATATACAAAGATTCCAGGCATCCCAGGCTGTCAGTATCGCAGGCTGATGGTTTCTGCGGCTAATAAGTCGGCTGAAGCTGATTTGTTGTAAGAGAAAAACACCGTTCTATGGCTGCAACGGTGAGTTCACCCATTGTCGTTGTTCATCGTGCTTTAATTCTTATGCAGAAATGGAGCATTATCCTCAAGGCAGAATAACAAGGCTGGGTGCAAAGGGTAACGGAGCACATGATGGATCGGCTATAATCCCTGCAGCTGGTTAGCTGAAGCTCCTGTTAGCTATAGTGGGAGTGTGTCAGCTTTGAATTCAATGTTGGGCATCTTATCTTTCAGGTTTTGTTTGAGGAAGAGGGAGTTTAGAGAGAGATCCCGTTTTAAACTTGTGATGGTATAACTTAATGCTACCCTTTGTAAGCTGGTCTGCCCAGCAAAATGTTGCTCTCTATAAAGCAGGGCCTATCGGTCTGGAGTCTAAAAAATTGTTAAAAAATTTAATCACCAAAATTTATAGCCGGTGATAATTTCATCAATATGAACAAATGGCACAAAGTTCAGCATGTTAAGACATTTATATTCCAATGAGCAAAGATACTAATATTTCCATATGCTGTATGTTGCATAGGAGCAAACATTGTCTCAGTATCAGAAAATATTTTCATATGTAATAAGTTAGAATGTGAGCTCCTAGTGAAAGTTCCATATGCAAAGCCGTACCTCTAGAAAGATGGTTTTACTCTGCAGAATCAGAGTCATCATCGGCATATACAGGAGCTGACTTTTTAGGTAAGAACTCTTCATCAGGATAGATACTTGCGAATAACTATAAATGAAAATAAGAAAACAAATTCATCAGGACAGAGCTAGTGGTTTAAATGAAGCATCATCCATTCTAAAGCTGTCACAAAAGAGCGTACTCTTGATGTACATTACGAAGAAAATTGTTATAACCATCTGATACTGACAGAAGTACATATCACCCAGAGTTTCAGACCTAATTTCTCATGCAGGTACATGTGTACATCATACAAGAAACAGAAAAAGGCCACAAAATGTAATACCTTTTTTGTTGATCCCAGTACGTTTCTGTAGTCCAGGTATTCATCAGGCATGGAGCATGACAATAAAGAACCGGATGTTCCCTGATTTTTTTCCTGATAGTGTAAGACAGGACACCAAATGCTTTAAATATAAAAACACATATATATAACCTGAAAAGCCAATGCGTTTCTAGTACTGAAACCAACATGAATACAGTCCATATTGATAACAAATAGAAATGCACCTGTGTGATCTCTTGAACATACACACAGCTCCAGATTAGTGTTGGCTTCACATCCTCGGTGCTTTCACTGGCTGTCTCAAGATGGCCTTCTGAATCATCTGAAGCCTGAGGACTGAAAAGAGCATCTATTGCTTTTTTTATGCATTGCTTTCCGGCTGAGACATCAGTACAGGGAGTAGACAGATATGACATAAACCTGCAAGTGAGATTAGCTTGTGAGGTAAGTTACTTGCCTACAATATAGGGCAATTTTGAACATACAGGTCCCTGGCGGTAGACCGGTAGATATAACAAGGACATGAGAAAATTACATTGATGCATACTATGATGATAGGATAGATAGCTTACATCCCAGGAGGGCATACTGCGAGATTGCTGCTCAACTGAAGAAGCCGAACAGCTGCGACCTGCTGCTCTTCTAGTGCTAAATTAAGAGTATGGGATCAACAAAGAGAAACAAATCACCAATACATCAACAAGATCTGGCATAAAGACAGGTAAAAGAATAGTTGTCCTTACATTTTGGAGGGAAAATAACCAAAACATTTGATGATCCCTGTTTCACAGACTTGCTAATTATGCATACCCCTCTCGCAACTTTTCTTGGAGAGTGAGAATCTGAACCATCAAATGGTACATCCAAGGTAGGAATCTCATAAGACGGATCAATTATCAATTGTTGGCACAAAATATCCTGACCAGATGCCAATCTGGCACCTACAAAATGCTTCTTTTCCTGATCAATAAAATATAAATTATTTTGGGTTAGTAACCAAATAGAAGCTGTTCATAAAGATGAAATAAGCAAGACTTCAAAAGGATCCAGTGTATGATAATTACATCAGGCAAAAACAAATTTGCAGGAATATGGCCACCATAGATTTTAGTTTATTATCATACCTCATCCATAAGAAGTGCAGACACTGGCATCCACAACACCTGAATAATAAAATGTGTTGTTAAGGCTAGGTATGAGGAAACCGGCACAAGTTATTAAAAAGAAAGAAGTAAAGAAGGTGTCAGATGCCATTCCAGCAGAGAGATGTCAAGCCCATGACTACCACATCACTGTTCCTAAATGTTTGGGTTGCAATCAAATAGCAATGTACCAATTACAGATAATTGGGATGAAAGATGCTACAATCACGTGACAACAATAGCCAAAGCTAGAACACAAAAATCATTGCCACGCATACTTGTGAAGATCATCTTACATATAGGGCGCCCTTAACCGCAGCACAGCGACAGAAAGCTTGAGGCAGCTCACCATGCCCATACATAGGATAAATGAAAGCGCCTTCTGCATTAGCGAACCTGGTGTGGTGAAAAATAAGATGTAAAATTATACCGCCACAGCTATGTTATTTTAAGATTTTACATGTTTGAAAACATCTCCAAAGCTAAATGAAAGATGGATTAATAAACAAAGCATTATATAATATGATATATATGGTTTTCCAAAGTGGACAAGGAAAAGTTCAGACAAGCTAATTCACCTCCCAATTGACGAGGAGTACAAAGCAATGGTCTGGATTCCCTCCCTCGTTGTAATTAATTTCTCACAAGGGTCAGCACCATCTTGATCATAATCCGCCATGGCAATCGCATACAGCACAACCCTGCAAACACCACACAGAGCCCAATCTTAGTCATGCTGCTAAAAATAGCACATACTCGACCAATTCAGAACACCCTTACGCTCTCATCTTGGGAGGAAGCCCCTGTTTCTTGAGGAACTCAACAAAGGGAAGATCCAGGTCCTCCTCAGGTATCTTGGCAGATGCATCCCCCTGTCCCGTCTCATCAGCAGAAGCTGAGGCGGCAGCAATGTGCGCCTGCACAAGCTTGAAGAACCTGAAGAGGATGTTCTTCTCCTTGAGCTTGAGTGTGGGGTCCTTGAAGATGGCCTGCCTCGAGTCTGGCACCGGGTAGAGGCAGCCCTCCCAATAGAGAAGGCTGCCCCCCTCCACGCTCTTGAACTCCACATGGTGGCTGCCCCCCGACCACAGGAGGAGGTCCACTGCCTCATCGGCGCAGTACAGCACCCGGGGGCCCACCAGGTCAATGGTGAACCGCCTCGCCGGCTCTGGCACCGCCCCCGACGTCTCAACATCGGAGTACACGCTCCGTCGGTGGAGATCGACGACGGTGCGCGAATCAGAGGCGGCGGCGGCCGCGGACGAGGTGGGCGGGGAGGCCTCAGGGGATAGGAAGGAGGCGAGGGAGGAGAGAGGGATGGAAGAGTAGAGGGAGCCGTAGAACGGGCTGGGATCGACGTGGAGGACCGTTTTCCCAGCGGCGGCGCAGGCGGCGGCGAGGACAGACTCCGGAAGGCCCGTGCCGCAGAGGACCACGTCGAACGAGGTTGGGTCAATGGTGGGGTAGTCGTTTTGGACGCTACCGCCGCCGCCGTCGACGACCGAGTTGGAGGAGTCGGCAGCCGCCTCCGCCATATTCGTTGGGAAATCTAGGGATCGATAGAGTACCGCAGCAACGAGCGGCAGTTCACCGTGCTGGTGGCACACTACCTCCCGCCGTCGCAGCACTCTGCCGCCAAATCGCGAACCCGTGCCACTATCGGCCACTGAGGCAGGCCCTGTTTGTAGTAGATTTATCTGACCACGCTTT